GATTCGGGTCTCTCACGGTGGGATTTGTGTTCTTGGGGTGGAATTTGGGGCTCTCATGGTGGGATTCGGCTCTCTCACGTTGGGATTTCGTTGTCTCATGGTGGGATTCGGGTCTCTCACGGTGGGATTTGGGTCTCTCACGGTGGGATTTCGGTCTCTCTTGGTGGGATTTGGGGTTCTTGGGGTGGGATTTCGGTCTCTCATGGTGGGATTTTGGTCTCTCACGGTGGGATTTGGGGTTCTCACACTGAGATTTGGGGTCTCTCATGGTGGGATTCGGGTCTCTCACGTTGGGATTTCGTTGTCTCTTGGTGGGATTCGGATTTCGTTCTCTCATGGTGGGATTCGGGTCTCTCACGTGGGACTCGGGGTTCCCAACGGGGTGTCCCCCTTTTCGGGCAGCGTGCGCCCCAACCTGTTTGTGGGGACGGCGCCGGGCTCGACGCAGTTCCGCTGCTGGTACTTCGAGGTGGCCGTGGAGCGGGCCCAGCCCTTCGTCACCGCCGTGCCCACCCACCTGCGCGTGGGCTGGGGGGCGGCAGGGGGCTTCCGGCCCGCCCCGGGGGGCGGCGCGGGCTGGGGGGGCAACGGCGCCGGCGACGACCTCAACTCCTTCGCCTTCGACGGCCTCCACCTGTGGACAGGTGAGGAGGGGGCACCTGGGACCACCCCGGGACCACCCTGGGACCACCCTGGGAACCCTCTGGGACCACCCTGGGAACCCTCTGGGACCACCCCAGGACCACCCTGGGATCACCCTGGGAACCCTCTGGGAAACCTCTGAGACCACCCTGGGACCACCCTGGGACCACCCTGGGAACCCTCTGGGACCTCCTAGGACCACCCTGGGACCGCCCTGGGACCACCCCGGGACCACCCTGGGACCACCCTGGGACCACCCTGGGACCACCCTGGGAACCCTCTGGGACCACCCCAGGACCACCCTGGGATCACCCCAGGACCACCCTGGGACCACTCTGGGACCTCCTGGGACCACCCTGGGACCACCCTGGGACCACCCCGGGACCACCCTGGGAACCCTCTGGGACCACCCCAGGACCACCCCAGGATCACCCCGGGACCACCCTGGGATCACCCCAGCCACCCCGGGACCAACCTGGGACCACCCTGGGATCACTCTGGGACCACCCTGGGAACCCTCTGGGACCACCCTGGGAACCCTCTGGGACCACCCCAGGACCACCCCAGGATCACCCCGGGACCACCCTGGGATCACCCCAGGACCATCCTGGGACCACCCTGGGAACCCTCTGGGACCACCCCAGGACCACCCTGGGAACGCTCTGGGACCACCCCGGGACCACCCTGGGAACCCTCATGGAACCCTCTGGGACCACCCTGGGACCACCCTGGGACCACTCTGGGACCACCCCAGGACCACCCTGGGACCACTCTGGGATCAGTCTGGGAACACCCTGGGAACCCTCTGGGACCACCCTGGGACCACCCAGTTCCCTCCAGGACCACCCTGGAACCCACCCTAGGACCACCCTTGGACCACCCGGGATTGCCCCGGGACCACCCCGGGACCACCCTGGGACTACCCTGGGACCCCCCTGTGACCCCTGACCCCTGTGTCCCCCCCAGGGGGTGTCCCCAAGGCCGTGGGGTCACCCCAACGCCGGGCTCTGGCCGAGGGGGACGTGGTCAGCTGCTGCCTGGACCTGGGGGTCCCCAGCGCCTCCTTCCGCCTCAACGGGGCCCCGGTCCAGGGGGTCCTCGAGGGCTTCAACCTCGACACCCTCTTCAGCCCCGTGGCCAGCTTCTCGGCGGGGGTCCGGTGAGGGGGGGGACACCCCCGAATTGGGGGGTGGGACCCCTAAAGTGGGGGGTGGGAT